ACACATCATCAATTATACCTCTAACACATCATTGAATATAATTCTAACTTTGCCACATGATGCTATAGTACTAAGTGACACATCCCCAAAACTCATTTTCATCCTATACTTCTACAAATTTAAGGTCAATGGTTCGAATCCTCGCAAAGACTATGTATATTCTCTTAAATCAAAAATATTCTCTCTTATTTTCAACTATGTATATTTCCTTAAATTAAAAATATTTTCTCATACTCCAAATATAAAAGAGATGTGAAAATTCAAATATAATAAAACATTTTTTGTTTTTCTAAAATTATAGCAATAAAAATAATACTTGAAATAAATATTTTTAATCTTATAGTAGTTCTTACGTGATTTTTAAATATAAATTTATTTATAATAAAATATAGTATGCAACAATTTTTTACGATGTCTATATACTTTACTATTATATTTTTATATAATATCAAATAATAAACTAATGATAAATAACAAAATACTACACAAAAGAGATAAGAGAATTCAAACATAATAAAATGTTTTTATCTTATTTTAGCCAAAATGGTCAAACTAACCAATCTTTATTTCAACCATGTATATTTCCTTATTTTAAGAATATTTCTTTCAAATTTAAAAAATAAAAGAGATGTCAAAATCCAAACACAATACATTATTTTTTGTTTTTCTGAAATTAAAACAATAAAAATAACATAGTTGAAATAAATATTTTTAATTTTAAAGTAGTTCTTACACAATTTTGAAATATAAGTCACTTTAAGTTGATCTTAAAAAATAATAAAGTATGCATTAATGTTATAAAGTTCGAAAAAATAGACATATATTTTATAAAGTTATTGAAAGTTTCATTTCATAATAATTATAAATAAACTTTTAATTTTATTTAATTAACACTAAAAATAAATACATATATATTAACAAATTAAAGTAAAATATCTAAATAAAAGTGTAAAAAGTATATTTCAAATATAAAAGAGATGTGGAAATTCAAATACAATAATTTTTTTTTTAATTTTTCTGAAATTACAATAATAAAAATAACACTTGAAATAAATAATTTTTATCTTAAAGTAGCTCTTACATAATTTTCAAGTATAAGTCAATTTAAACTTACTTAAAATATAATATATATAGTATGCAACAATGTTTTACAATGTCTATATACTTTACTACTATATTTTTTATATGATATTAAATAATAAACTAATGACAAATAACAAAATACTACACAAAAGAGATAAGATAATTTAAACACAATAAAATATTTTTATCTTATTTTGGACAAAATAGTCTATTAAGCCAATCTTTACTCTAACTATGTATATTCTCTTATGTTAAGAATACTCTCTCAAATTTAAAAAATAAAAGAGATGTCAAAATCCAAACACAATAAAATATTTTTTGTTTTCCTGAAATTATAGCAATAAAATAACACTTGAAATAAATGTTTTTAATCTTAAAGTAGTTTTTACACAATTTTTAAATATAATTCACTTTAAGTTGATCTTAATAAATAATATAATATGAAATAATCTTATAAATTTTTAAAAAATAGACATAAATTTTATGAAGTTATTGAAAGTTTTATTTGATAATAATAATAAATAAATTTTTAATTTCATTTAAAACTAAAAATAAATACATATATTGAACAAATTAAAGTAAAATATCTAAAAAAAGATAAGTGTAAAAAAATATGAGAATGAAAAAAAAAATAAAAAAACCACTTTATAGATATGTAATTTTCACTACAAAAAAACATTATTTACAAGGGGTTAACCCCTTAGAAATGGCAAAAACTCCTCACAAATGCAAAATTTGCGAGAGGGACTCGTCCCCTATGAAAACTGGGGTCGCAAATAAATATCCAAGGGGTATTAGACGTGGGTAATTTGTTAAGGGTCATACCCATCGCTAAATGCAACATGAATTTGACAGGGGTTTTACCCCTCGCTAAATGCAACATGAATTATATAGTCTTCAGCATGCAGACATAGGCGTGCAGGATAGGGGCAGTGGGTCCGAATTTTTGTGTATATATTGTATCGGTTGATTAGTTTTGTATATGTTTGTAGGTATTTGAGCATAGTTGGAGCAATGAGGAATAAAAGCTCCAAGATGCATTTTTGGATCAATAAAGGAATAATGCGAAAGATTGGAGCCATTGGAGGTTATGCAGGAAAGCAACAGAAGTTGATGGTATTGTCACGCGTCGCTGGGCGATAGAAGCCGCCGCCGGAGAAATCTGAAATCCAAATTTCTATGAAGTTTATGCCTTGCGTCGCGTCTTAGTCGCCAGGAGAATATAAAGAGAGTCGTCGGGCGATGTATTATGGTCTTCGGGCGATGTTAGATATTTTGATCAGATGAGAACATGGCTTAGTCTGGGCCAAGTATATAGAATCCATCACCGAGCAATGCTTTTATGTCGCCAGGCGCACACATGCGGATCCAAATTTTGCTATATTTTCCTTTTCATTTCATTTGTTAGGGATAATTTTTGGGGGGTGAGTTTTTATTCTCCTAACTCCATTAACCTCATTTTTATAGTGGATTAGCTTAGATAATAACACTAGGGCTTTGCTTATGGATGATTGGAGGTGGATTTCTCATTGATGTTAATTAAATAGTTAAAATCCTAAGTCTAATTAATTTTAATTTTTAAGAAAATTTTAATTAACCTAATTAATTAGTAAATAAAAAAAAGTCAAAATTAATTATTGATTAAAAAGTTAAACCTAATTTATTAGGGTTTTGAAAAAAAATCAAAATTGATTAGTAGTTAATTAAGGAAAATAATTAGAGTTAGTGAAAAAAATCTGGGTTAGTAATTAAAAGAAAAGAAAAAGGTTATTGAAAATAAGAAGAAGAAAAAGATTGTATGGGGTGGGTGTTAAACTCCCGCCCTCCTGCCTTCATCTTGCACAACTTATCACCCATCCAACGCGTTGGCTGTGATAGGAAACAGGCGCTGAAGATTATATGTGAAACATGCGTAAATTAGAAAATAACACAAAAAAGTTGCAAAAGGCAGGAATCGAACCCACACTCTTAGAGATCAATGCCTTAACGCACACGTCCTTGCCACTGGAGTGGCTGTTACATCCGGTACTATGACTGAAATAAATAATTATGAAATAAACAAAAATAGATGGACCGAAGAGGCGCCGAAGCCCTAGCTTCGGTCGTTTTCTCCGACGAGTTGCTTTCTTGCACTTGCGAAATAAAAGTGTTAATGATTCAAAAGAGACCCTACTCCCCTAATTTGACCCTTTCGAGTTTAATGGTGGCCTTGGTTTTTGTTGAATCGTCCTGTACACAGAGATATAAAGAAAACAAAGAAAATCAGTTCAAACATGGTGATCCATCATCCTGGCATTATGGGACTCATGTGATGGTTCAATTATGTATTGTTACATCTCAACAACACAATGAAAGCATTAGTTCACATCAAAACATCATAGAATTTAAAACACGAAATTCATAAAAATATATCAACCGACCATGCTTGGAATGCTTGTTTTATGCACTTTTGATCATCAAGAACGGTCAAGTTTTACCATATAACACCTCAGGAATTGATTGGAACGGTTGGTTTGCTTTGAGAAGGGCTGGAACAATAATTTCAAGTTTTCCCTAGTTCCGACAAATTTTAATATTTTTGGAAGAGTTCTTGTAGGTTTTTTTTCGTGTCCTCTTTTGTCTGAAGATGAAGTGTATTTATAAGAGAAGATTATGTCAAGAAAAATGGGCTTGGACCTCTTGCAAACAACCTTTGATTCTTGTTTGAAAATAGAATTCGAATAAGACAAAGCATGAAGATTTGTTTTGAAAATAAGCTTCACACGGTTTGCAATGTAATCTTGGGCCTCCAAAAGATTTGAAACAAAATCCTTTTAAGCTTTATACCTCCACTTACTATTTATTTGATTTAATTTGCATTTAAACGAATAAAAATTCAAATAAAGAAAATTAAAATCATAAAAAATATAAGAATGATTTTGGTTGAGAATTTTCTGATGAAGCATGTGAAAGTTATATTTGGTCAAAGTTCAGTTGACTTCTCCTTAAGAAAATCCTAAAATTTAGTAACTTTTGAGTTTTGATGAATCTTGGGTTTTCTTGATGAGTTATGATCAACCCTTGATCAAATGATGAATGTAACTTAAAAATATTGATGTTGATAAAAAATCATGAAGTTTGACTATATGTTGACCACAATTGACTTTTTATCTAATTTAGTTGATTTTCAATCATTTGAGCAATTTACTGAGTAAATATGTGATGTAAGGCTTGAAACTTACATGAGGATTCTTTGAAGCATATGAGGAATCATGAAACTCATTTGAGACATTAGAAGCTCAATTTCCTCTGAGAAAACCAAAACCCTAATTATAGGAAACTGTTTAGGAGGATGACTCATCTGATCATTTTTAAGTAGTCTTGAATACTTGATAACTTTAAGAACATGAGAAAGTCTTTTGAAAATAAGAAGGAAAATTTTGGGTACAACACTAAATATCATTATTTATAATTATTTTGGATTTGAGTATCATGTACTCATTAATATATAATATTTGTATAATAAATTATTATATATTTCAAAGGAGTGGACTAGATGAACTCTATTAATGCCATGAACTTATCTAGCTACATTTTTTTTAATCAATTTTAGGTAAGAAGTAATCATCCTATGAAGATTTGGCAAACTAAACTTAAATAATTCATAAAGATTATTAACATAAATATAAACTGCAAAGCCCAAATATCCATTTATTTAATTTGCATTACATAATAACAATATAAGATACGATCATCAATACATGGCCGACACATTCATTCATAGAAAGGAAGCATAAAGAGAAGCAAACATGATGCATGCTTATATATAATATGATACATGCATGCCATTACAAACATCACAATAATTATAAAGATGCAATATTTTATAATATCCAGAAAACCACTACTCTTTATTTAATATATAATGTCTTTATGACTTATAATGCAACCTTTTCTCCCTTGATAAGGTGACCATCAATGTCTCTAGTGGCTTTGCTAAGGTAATCCATCCAGCCATTTGGAGTATCAACATCTTCATTGATTTTTACATAGTCAATAGTCCATCTAACAGCAGCAGTGCCATCAGCTTTATTGATTACTTCCAGAGTCAGCTTAAAAACAGTGAAGTTGTCAATATCTCCACCAAACAGCTTATAAGTGATTTTTTTGTTCTCCTCATCAACTTCTTCAATACTTTCATTACATGTGTGAACCTCACCACCTGTTCTCATGTCAGACACAATTAATACAAATGATTAATAATAGATAGAGATCCCCAAGGACGATCAGAAGTATTATATGGTGGGGGACATAACACATAAATTTTGTATAACTAAAATATAATCTCTATTTTTTCCAAATTTTAATATACATTTTTTGTTTTAAATAAATAAACATAAAAAAGAATAGTTTCACCAAAAGATATGTAAAAAAGCTAAGAATAGGGATGTAATACTTTTAAAATAAAATATTTTATTCATTTCACTTAATATTTTGTCCTCGAGCTGTCTTAAAAGCCTAAGATCATTATTCTGATTTTGACTTTGTAACTTTAATAAGGAAAATTTTCAAAGCTAATATGTAATGGTTACAAAGTGACTATTATTATTTATATTATTAATATTTTTTAATAGTTTATTAAAAAAATTAGAGTGAAATTAATAGGCCAAATAAAAATTGCAAATCTATTAAAAAACAAAAAAAAAAAATATTATTGAATGTATTTGAGTGTTATTTAGTGAAAATTGTTGGGATTGTATTAGATTTTAGGGTATAGTTTTCAAATCTAATAAATTGAACTGTATATATTTTCATACTTACTTTTTTTTTTGCATTATTTTTTTCATCTATATTTTCATACTTACTTCTTTTTTTTCATCTATATTTTCATACTTACTTTTTTTTTTTGCATTTTTTTTCATCTATATTTTCATACTCGCTTATTTTCAATTTTTTAATATATTACCATAATTTCTTATTTCTTGGTATTTAATTTTTAATATTAATTATTAATTTTGTTAAATTTATTTATTTTTAATATTGAACTATAATTAATCATTCATATTTTATAATATTAACTTTTTAAATATATTTTATATTGTATATTACATTAAATCTATTTTGATTATCATTTTTATAATATTCATAAAAAATATAATATACAATTTGGTTATTTAAAATTCGATCTAAATTAACCTACGCTAAATTAGATTGGGTGGAATTTTTTTAACATATCACCCAAAATTTATTTTTTTAACATTTGACATGAATTTAAAATTTTTAAAATTAAATTTTAATGAAATACTATATTTTTCTTTTCTAATATTTTAAATTATACAAAGTTCTAATGGTATACCTTGGAATTTTTTAGGCCATGCTAGACAAATTATACTTTTTGTGTAAGGTATCTCTTAACTGAAAATTTCGAAATTGAAGCAAGTTGTGTAGCTTAAGGTTGTAAATCGGATCTAAATTCGACGATAAACAACTTTAAATATTTGACAATAAAATATATGTTTTCATTTGGATAAACAAATTTTGTATAGAATTCATTGGTGTTCTTTAACCCATCAAGCTTTCTTTGACTAAAATTATACAAAAAAATTAAATCAAATTATTTTAATGGATCAGTCAAAATGATGATTTAGTTATCAGAAAAACACAATTACCTATTTCGTAAGTCCAGTGTTTAACAGATTCATTGTGATGCCAGTCTTCACCTTCATGCAGCTTGGCATGATGAACTCTTTCACAAATGTTTTGAACTTCGTGAAGTTCTGATGCAAACAGTTTGAAGAACTTGTCAGCGGGTGTTTTGACCCCAAGTTCTGTAATAAGTTTGCCAGCTAGAACCATTTTTAAGAAGAAAATCTAAATATATAATAAAAGAAAGAAAAGAGATGTTATGATATGAGAAAAATGTATGCAAGCTCAGGCCTTAAATAGAAATTTGTTTACACTAAAAAATATAAATTGACCCCACAAATTATATTATATGAGGTCCACTACTTCATCTGTGTTCCCCCAATCCATGTGATGCCAGTAAACTAATTTTTTTTCTTCTACTTTTCTATTATAATATAGTGACAACTTTTACATATATATCAACTTTCGAACAAAGCTATAATTACGGGATTATGGAATATCTTATTCATATCCTGCTCAATCATTTATAAAATATAAGTATCCTTTTAGTGAAATTTTAAATATTAAACATGGAAAATGGAATCTTTTTTACAAGGGGAAAAGATAAAGAAGAAAAAAAAATCATCTAAAAAATAAAGTGTCACTAAAATTAGTAGGAGTGTGATGATTCGAAGAGGTAGTTTCACCAAAGATATATCTGCCGCATTATTATTAATCTCATGTTTTTTTCAATAGTCATCACAAGTATTTTTATAAGCATGAATTATGTTAGATTTTGGTAATATATATAATATATTAATTCAATGCATCACATAATATAATAATACATTATCAATTATAATTCTACCATATCATAAGTATTTATATTTATATAATATATAAAATATAATATATCAAATAATATAACAACTTATTTTCACTGTATACTTCTACAATTGAGAGATCACGGATTCAAACCCTGGTAAAGAAGGAATGAAATATCAATTTGAACAAATTGATCTAACAAACATGTATATTCCTTTATATTAAAAATATTATCTCATATTTCAAATATAAAAGAGATGTAGAAATTCAAATAGAATAAAATATTTTTTATTTTCTTGATATTAAAGTAATAAAATAATACTTGAAATAAATATTTTTAATATTAGAGTAGTTCTTACATCATTTTTAAGTATAAATCACTTTAAACTTATTTAAAATATAATATAGTATGCAACAATTTTTACGGTGTCTATATATTTTACTTCTATATTTTTTATATAAATAAATCAATAATTAAATAAAAAATAAACAAGTTAATTTACAGTCGCGTATCACACTGGTCTTAATCTAGTAATATATTAAATTCAATTTGTTGTACTCCAAAATTTTCCCTCCCATACTTCCTCAAGATTTGTCAAGAATGATCTTCAATTTGTTTAAGGTTGCTCAAGGATTGCACAGTCCAAACACCTCCTAAGCCAGCTGAAATTAGGGTTTTGGTTCTTTCAAGGAATTGGAGGTTTTCAATGGCTCAATCAAGTCTCATAGGCCCATATACATTCTCAAGCATCTACATGTCAAGTTTCAAAACTCACAGTGCCAATTTGCACAGTCAAAAGCCTCATTTGACCTACAACCAACTGCAAGGGCAAAATGGTCATTTTGCAGTCAAAAGTCAGAATTTTTGGTCAACATCTCATTTTGAGTCCACAATCATCATTTGATCAAATCTTGATCATGATTCTACAAGAATGGCTCAAAAATCATCAAGATGCAAAAAGTTACTATTTTTGGACAGTAGAAAAGTCAAATGTATCTTGATCAGGGCATAACTTTTTCATGGTTCATCAGAAAAATTCCATCCAATGCTCATTTTGAAATGGGTGTGATTTCCTACAATCCATCTTCACATTCCAAGTCCAATAAATGCTCTCACAAGAAGTTATCAATTTCTACATTATAGGTCAAATTCAAAAGTCAACAAAAATGCACTTTAAGTCAAAGACCATAACTTGAAATTGGTAAATCCAAATGACATGGGACCAAAGGCATTGGTTAGAGGACTTCAAGACCTTTCCAAAATGTCCAAGAACATGTTCATATGATCAAAATTGAGCAAGATATGCATTGGAGAAGTTGGGAAATTTTTGTGAATTTGCAAAAGTCAACTTTGCTCAAAACACCTTGTTTTTGCTAATGGGCCTCAAATCTCTTCTTGAAACTTCATCCATGGCCTATGCACGACCCATCAAGATTAATTGGATTTATTTTCTTGTTTTTATTGATTAATTAGATTTTTAATCAATATTAATTCATTTAATTAATTTAAATTGTAGGAAAATACAAGATTTGGTTTTTCAATCTTTTTGTGAAGCAAAGATGACCTAAAAAGGCTGGCAATTTCGTGCACCAAGTCAAAGATGCAATATCTCCCAAATTGGCAACTTTTTCCAATCATGAAAATGCAAAAAGATTTGATTTTCAATCAAATATTCAATCATCATTCCAATGGATTTTTGTGCAAGATTCTGACCTAATTCCATTCCTCTATAAGTATGCAAGCTAACCCTAATGCCAGACACGTGAGAGAGCTGCAGAAAAAGCCATAACCATATTGAAAAAATTCAAGAAAATTGCAAAACTAATTTCTATATTCCAGGGCGATTTAAAGACTTTTGTTGATTCTAATCTATTGCAGGAGTTCTCAGGGACGTTTTGCAATCAAAACCAAGCATTGAAGCTCAAAGAATCATCAAGAACAGAGTCACGGTTTGCGTTTTATTTTGAGAATCGTACAGCTTAGTTCATGCATCATTAACATGATTTTGTGTTTGATTTGTGTTGCTAGGGACTGTACAAAGCTAATGGTATAGCTCAATTGAATTATAACGCCATAAATCACAGAATGCCATTGACGAATTTTAGGGTTCATAAGCTTTCAAATTAGGGCTTTACAATCGAGGAACAATTAGGATTCATAAGGCATATGGTTGGAATCGTCAAGACCAGACGAACACATAGGGACCATCGCGAAATATTTATATTTACCATAGCTCTATTCGCTATTTTTGGTCACTGTAGTTTGTGGGGGTTAAAAACCCTCGCTATCTGATTTGTTTTTACAGGTACAAAGGAAGAAGATGACTAGGTGTTAATACATCATTGGTCAGTTTGAAAATAAGTGCGCGCGTTTTTTGGTTATAACATATGAATTGATTTTTTATATATTATATTTGCTTATTATTATAATAACAAAAGCGTGCACATGGTGTAGTGGATGATGCGTTGACTTGGAATCATTGGGACCTGGGTTCGAATCCCGGGTCCCCCAAAATTATTATTGCTATTTTCTTGTAGCTTATCCAGTATGCCTTATGCCTTGTGGTCTACCATGCATCTCAATTGTCCACACGCCAAGTGGCTTACAAAGCAAATCTGAAGGCCAAAGATGAAGGACCATGATACTCCCAGTCAATGCACATGTGGACGATCTCAGAAGTCAAACAGGCTTGTGTGCAAATGGGCTTGGAATTTACAAACTAACCTCCTTTCTCTTTATATTTTCTATTTATTTATTTAATTCTTTTACTAATTATTATTATTATAACTCACAAATTAATTATTTTCATAATAAATTCAGAAAACTAAAATATAATATTATTATTATTTAAATTAATTTCACCTTTAATTAGCTATTTTTGTAAATAAATTCTAATGTAATTAATTTAGTTAATTAGGTTAACATTGACTCTTTTTTTCACGATAAATAAAATCAACATAGAATTAGGATTGTCTTTTGACAATTTTAATCCTTTTTATTTTTGTTTTCCTTAAAACATAAAAAACCGAAAAATACTTCTTTTTATTAATTAATTAATTAGGTTTAATTTAATTTAATTAAAGGACAAAAACTATTTCTTTCTCAAAAAAGGGTCAAAACCCTAAGGACTTCTCCGATTTAATTTCTTTTCGCGCATATTATTTTTTGATCATATTTATGTAATTGCTCCGAGGATGTAATAGCGTTAATTAGGAATTTTTATCGCTTTCATTTATTTTCCCGCAATTTACGTTTCAAGAGTTGTTTTTGGCGTTGTAAATACCCGACGCCTTGTAATAGCGTAGATTTACTTTCCGCACAATTATTAACTGTTAGATGTATGTTAACTAGGCTATGCATGACAAGACTTCTCTGAAATTAAAATCAAAACGTAGCTCACAATAACATGTGCAAAGATAACTTAACTGAATCCTGACACACTCGCACATGCCACTCCTAGGGTACGCCTCACTTGGTTGCCTCGACGTGGTCATTGAGTATAGGGTGTTTTAGAGGTCGCCCTCCTGTCTAAAGATCCAAGTTGCCTCGAAACGGTTGCCTCGGATAAAAAGGATCTAGGACATTAGGGTTACCGCTAAGGCGTCCTACTATTACTTTGGTGACCACACATGTCCCTATAATCGAATTGACCCGAATAACTCCAATGACGGTGCTACCTACTTCTCAATAGTGGGATAGTACTGTCTAAAGGACATTTACACAGCTTAATTTCTTTTAAGTAGGTAGATTTCTCCTGGGTACTTGCTCTTTCAAAACAAAAATACTTTTCGCACCTACACTTTTCTGACAAAAGTTTTCAAACAAATACTTCATACACTCTTGAGGACAGATACAAGAGTCAAAACAAAGTTTTCAAACAAAACTCTTTTCAAAACCCACAAACACATGAAAAGCAAAACTCTTTGAAAACATAGTGAGCAAGTACCTAAGAGCCCGTGGATAACCACGGATAGAAAGGGTGCTAACACCTTCCCTTTCTATGATCTACCTCCCAAACCGAGAAACATCTCGAAAAGTAATTTTGCTGTGCTTTTGTCCTTTCCTTGTTGGAGAAAATAAAAGACGGTGGCGACTCTTGCTTACCGCGACATTTCGCGAACCAGCATTCCAAAACAGTCAGTTCTATTTCCACCGATCACAGAACTGGCGACTCTGCTGGGGAATACTGATAAGTGAGGTGTACCTTAGGATTAGATCACTCATGTTTTCAATTGTATGCCTTGAATGCTTTAATATTGTGGGCTTGTATCGGAGTTTTATAGATCCTAACCCGGATCCGCGGATACCCTTTAGAAGTAGCAACAAATTGTGAGGGAACTGTGCGGGGTATACCGACATGGTTGAAGCAGTTGCTACGTTGATGTGGCACTTTGGTGAGTACCGG